CACCCATCCATCCTGCCCCATTCTTCACTCACCCTGTCCTCTGCCCCAAAGCAGGGTGGGGCTTCAGGGTGGGGCTTGGCATTTGTTAGCCCTTTTCATGGACCCTCTGAGTCCTCGGGACATCTCAGAAATTTCATAAAAGCCTTCCAAGTCCAAGAGTTGGCCTCCCCACTGCCCTTGCCCTTGAGCTCCCAGCTGGCTCCTGGCCAGCCCCCGCCTCATGCTTGCCCTGCCCTGCAGGGTGGTATGCCCCCAACTAACTCCTCAACCCTTTCCCCCAGATATTACTACCAAAGGGGCATCCTGGCCAAAGTGGAAGGGCAGAGGCTGGTGTACCAGTTTAAAGAAATGCCCAAGGACCTAGTGGTGATCGAAGATGAAGACGAGAAAAGTGAAGCCGCGGAGGCCTCCACTAAGGCCTCTGCCTCCTCCAGCAGCACTGCCCGGCGAGCCAGCTCCAGGGTCTCATCCAGAGCCACTGCCCAGAGCAAGGGCAGCCCTGCCTGGGAGAAGCCGAAGGTTCAGCACGTCGGGCTGCAGCCATCTGCGAGTCTGGAATTGGGACTGTCTCCAGATGAGGAGATCCCCACTACCTCCACTGTGCTGGTCTCTCCAGCAGAGGGCCAGACCAAACTCACCAAAGCTGGGAGGTAAGGGCACCAGGTCATGATGCATCTTCCCATAGTACCTCGAGTTGGGACAGTTTTCAACTTCTTGCAAAGCCCTGCTGTGTCCAGCCTCATGGGACCCTCACAGAATCCCTGGGAAGCCAGTAGGGCACTTGTTGGTCAAGGAGTGAAAAGCAGCTTGTCCGAGTTCACCCGTCAGAGTAATGGCAAAGCCAGTACTTGACCTGGGGGACTTCTGTCTCCAGCTGGGGCTGTTCCTGTTACCCCAGAGGAGGGCCCCCCCGAGCAGCCAGCAGGGGCCTCCACGTCTTGGCCTCTCTCCCTGAGCCTCCCCCACTCCAAACAAGAGGCAACAGAGAGTATTGCACAGACACCCAGTCGGCTTTCCTTGGGCCCTCCAGGCCCACCTGGAAAGCTCTTGATACCTCTTGTCCATGCTAAGTGCTTCCAATTTTCCCCGAAAAGGCTTGGTTTTGTCTGGGATGCGTGTGTGTAGCTCTCACTACGCTGGCATGAGTCACTGACATGCCCTTCTAGAGAGAAAGCAGTAGAGTGGCGCAGCGAGGAGCACGGGCGCTGGAGTCAGAAAGCCCCGATGAGAGTCCGTGCTACTAGCTGTGTAACCCAGGGCAAGTGATGTAACCTCCCTCTGCCTCAGTTTCCCATAAAATCAGATTATTACCCTTATTCAGCTCGTGGGCTGTTGTGAAGATTGAGGGAGATGGCAAATGATTGACATGTGCCATTTCCCTCAATCTTCACAACAGCCCACGAGCTGGATAAGGGTAATAAATGTTAAGATTAATAAAAGCACTCAGTAAATGTTAGCCAAGTCCTGGCCAGCGTGGCTCAGTGGTTAGAGCATTGGCCCATGCACTGAAGGGTCATGGGTTCGATTCCCAGCCAAGGGCACATACCTGGGTTGCTGGTTCGATCCCCGGGCCCGGTTGGGGCACGTACAGGAGGCAATCAATGGATGTGTCTCTCTCACATCGATGTTTCCCCCCC